CCTCTCCTGCCCGCGGCCCCGCGGTGGGAGCTGGCCAGGCTGTGAGGTACTTTTCTGAGGGGAGGGAGGCGCTTTGCCTGCTCGAGAGGGAGATGTGGGGCTTGGAGGGGTCACTGTGTTTTGTAGGAGGAAAGCTTTTTGTGGTTACTTCGAGAAAGTGTTGAGCTTTATCCTTTCTTGTTGTGTGTAGGTTTCCCCCCCCCCCCCTTGGGAGTTTCTGTCCAACTCCCAATTTATGCTCCTGAAGATGGGGAAGGTTCAGTTGTTTCCTCAGGTAAAATGCTAATAGTCATTGCTTAATTATGCACATTCAGAACGGTCTTGTTAAAATCAATGGGGCCCTTAGCAAAATGAAGTTGCCTTTTCAAGACTGGGTTCTATGTTGGTATGTGAAATAGAAAAACTCATTTCTGTTTGCATTTACAGGCTGTAGCAGAAAATTGCTATAAAACATGAGCACTTTGGACTGAGTTATGTGGAAGAGCTAACTATGATTAAGGAATGTGAGACTATAGGTGGGGAATCTCAGTGGGATAGTCTGAAGATCAAACAAGCAATAGTTACTGCTCCTAGAAACGTGAGCATTTAGCCCTTATTGGAAGATTTAACACCAGATCAATCACATCAGTTAAGAACATTATCCTCTCTAGAGGTCAAAGAATCCACATAAGCCTGTCATGAATATAAATAAAAATATTCCTAATTAATTCATTGGGTGTTCTGATGCTCACAGCAAGTAAAGATATCTTCTGAAGTAAGAGACATGAAGAAACAAACCCTTGATCTCAGGGTGATGACTCAAAGAAATAAATCTGTGAAAGAAGATGGTGCTGACAAAAACCAGAGAAGTTGCCCTGAAAAAGTTAACAGAGAAAATGCCAGTTGTAGTCATGAAAGTACAGTTGTAAAACTGCCAGTAATAGCATCATTTGCAGGTACCACTAAAAAAGTTGTAATGGTCAAGCACCCAGCACCACCTCAGAAGCCAAGTTACTGCAGGTCTAATGGTCATGTTAATAGCTCCCCTATCTCATTAGAAAAGACAAAAGCTGTTAGTAAAGTAAAGGAAAGAGTTCATGTGCTACAGATGGATCCACAGAATTTAAAATCAGATAAAACTGAAGAAATAGATATTGTGATTAAAGATAGTGATGAATTTAGCTCTACAGATTGTGATACAAGTGTAAACCTTTCAAGAAAAGGAAAAATAACCAGGGGAAGCTGCAATAAGAGAAGCAGAGTGATTTCAAAAGCAAAGCAACAAGATTTTGATGTTGAATTGGGAAGAGTGCTGAGAAAAGGAAGCAGGCAGCCAAGTGTGAGGTCTGCTCGAGAACAGTTGGAAGAGGCAAGAAATGTGACTAGACCAGACACTTCAAAAATATACGAGAAGAACTTCCAGCAGAGCAAACCTGAAGAGCCTACTTCCACACCAGCATTGCCCGTGAAAGTGGTTGCAAGGTCTATTGATGAAATAATTGCTTCCCTGCAGTCTCGTTCTCCATCTCCCTCAGACCAGACGATCAAAGATCTCCTGGAGAGTGTTCTTGGCCAGAACTACAACATAAAAATGGAAGTAGGTGAACCAGAACAAGAGCAATATTTTTCCCTTGGGTAAATATTACTTTTATAAGAGTTGTATATTTTTTTTCCAGCTCCTACAATGTGTTACAACACAGAAGCCAGACAAAACAAATGGATAAAGACTCTAATGTATCATAGAATATTCTTAACTGTTTCTTCTGCCAGTTTTTTTGATGTCCCTTAAGAATGAAAATGAGCCAATATCAAAATATATTCAAACATAAGCTCTTTTGGGGTGTTATTTTTATTATACTGCTTATAGTTTAATACCATCTTTTTCTTTACTCTCCTTTCCCTTTTTTGAGATAACGTATTCCAGTCTGACAGATGAAAAAGTGCATTAAATGCATTCGGTATATTGTTGGAAGTATTGCTTCTTTTAGTTATTGTTTAGCTTGTGAAGTCTCTATAAGAGAAATCCTTTATTATCACAGTTAGGTAGGTTGTGTAAGCAGCTGTAAGAGTCCCTTCAACTAATTACAGCAGGAGAGATCAGTAATTCTAGGCATCAGGTAGATGCTGCAGAAAACTTTCCTAGATTTTCACCAGAGGGTTGATGATTCATTTGTTAACTAGAGTAGTAACTTACGATCAGATGACTCTGTCCTCTCTTAGCCAGACTGATAGTTTTGTTCATGTTCCAAGAGGGCTGAAATTTAGGTTGCAAAAATCACGAACACACTTGGTATTCACGGTAGCATTTGTTAGGGATGCTGTGGAATGAATAGACCCATGGAAGGTGAACTATTCCTTTTCAGCAGCAACTGCCTCTGCAAGGAAGTATAGCAGACTGATGAAAAACAGATGAACCTGTGTTTTAGGACATGATAAAGAACATTGTTTCCCACAACTATCAAAATGCTACCTTTTATGATCATAGAGTATCTCTCATAGAATGTAAGTGTGGTACCTTGTGTTCCCTTAATGTGACACCGACTGTCTCTTTTTTTTTTCCTCCTAACTTTTGTGTTTAATCAAAAATCCTGAATGGCGTTAATTTCAATGTGTAAGTCCATGAGCAGCAATAGCCTGAAACTGTATTTCCAATAGATTTATGTCCTCTAATTTGGTTTTCTTCTGTTCTTCTGAGAGCTGTTTGTGTGGCTGAGGTATTTGCGGGGTCTCTCACTCTCTGTATGTTTTCTGGTGTATTTCATTTGGGGTTGAAAACAGAGAAGACTTTCCTCAGTGTGGCAGCATTGAGATGATCCCTCTTCACTGCTTGACTTGTGTTTTAGGAATGTAATAATTTGGGACTGTTCTCTTTCGTTGAAATTTGCCATCTGGATACAAAAACACTTCAGTGCAGATGGGAAGAGAGCTAAAGGAGATCTTGGATCTGTAAAACCATTTCTTGTTCAACTTACCCAAAATAATTATTAGCAATTAGTAACATGTGCTGTGCTTTGTGTTCTTTCTTTTTTTATAAATGTGGGTTATGGTCTAGGTAAGATTTTAAAAGTTTGGCCTCTAGCAAGTCCTAATGTTCTTAATTTCAAGTGAAGAGAACTGATTTTCTGTTGTTTGTAGTGGGAGATACTGGGCTCTGAGCTTTGAAAATCTGGCCTCTGGAGTGCTGTGATGTTTAATTCTTTATTTCTGAAACTTACATCAATTGGGTTCAAAGTAAAATGAAGATTTGAACTTGGTGATGACTTTCTGGTCTAGTTCTTTGTTGTTTAATGTTTTTTTAGGTATGGACGTAGGGACATCTGAGGATGAATGATGCCCTTGCTGATTACATTTTTTTTTTTAATCAAAGGCATTTGCAGCAGGTGTCTTTTGAACTTAAGTGACCTTATAAATAAGATGAAGACTCTAGCAAATCTTTATTATTATTATTATGCATGGTTTATTTACTTTACACTGAGCTTCAAGGCTTGCCTTCTAATGAAGTAAGAAATGTATTCTTTTAAATGAAATGGAAATACCTAGGCAAAGAACAGAACTACTAAAATGAAAACAAGCTCTCAGATTTAAATGTGTTTTTCATTTCTTACAAAAAAAATATTCTCTTCACTTTATCTTATTCTTGATCTTGCATTAATGACTGGTTAGCATTGATAGCTTATGATATTGCTGTGGGGGCTGAGTGCTGTTTTTCCACCAGCATCGAAAAGAGCATTATCTGGGGAATGGAATGCTAGCTCGGTGGGACATTAGTATTTAGCCCTATTTCCTTTGAGGGGAATCAGTTATGAATAATGATTCCCACCACATTTTCTGTTAAAAAGTAGAATTTTTATTATAAGAATAATATGATTTCCAATGCCTGGTGTAATTTTGTTGCCTTGAGGCTTGTTGTTACCCCTGAAGTATATTGAGTTATTAAGTTATATGCTGGATTTAGTATCCGTAGGAGGGTGTTTGTATTCATTTCAGAAATGCATTTTCTTTCATATTCAGCTTGATGTTCAGCTTTCTTGGTGATGAACCTGCAGCTCATTGTCTTTAGTTAGTTATTGTTTTCAGCAGATCAGTTCTTTAGATGAGCTTGTGAGGGTGCTAACTAAATTAACACTTTTATTCTCGAAAAAAAGCATCAAATTTGAATGCTTCTGATAAACATGCAGTGCACCGTATAAGCAGGAAGCCAACATAAAATATACTTTAGTTTTAAAAAACCATTTCTAGCTCTTGTCAGCTAATCTCAATAGTGAGGCCTTGAGAAGATTTTCTCTGTAATGCATTAATACTCTCTCAAAAGTGGTTTGATGGAGACGAATTACTGTTAAAATTCAAGAGGAGATAGACTTTTATTTGCTTCGTATCTATAAGCAAATGCAAACAAGTATTTACTCGTAACTTTACAGAATCTCATTTATTTGCTCTATGTTCTTTATATTTCAGCTGACATAAAAATTACACAACAGATCATATATTGCTTTCTGACAAAACTGTTTTTTAAGAGGCTTATTGAAAACACTTTTTTTCCTTTAGGTGCTATAAGGTGTATTCTAAGTATCATGGAAATGAACAAGAGACTTCAATTTATTTGTTAGTTTTCTTTAAGTGAGAAACCCTTCCTACTGGTTTTCTTGTTTTCTGCTTGCAGGATGGCTCATGGTCTTAGCATCCCTTAAGATGTAGCTAAATCCAGACCATGATGCTTTTTATTATGAGTTTGACATTACATTATTAATTCAAGAAGCACACTTCATTGACTATGCTCAATAAGGTTAATCATGGCAAAGGCTATGGTGCTTCCTGCCATGTGCTGAAGGGAGCTGCTCAGTCTTTAGGGGTGATCACTACCACTCCTGGACACATGAACATTTTTTCTGGAACAGTTAACTTGTATACTTTAGATTTTTTAAAAAAAAGATGTTTTCTTTTTATAATGTTGCAAGAAACTGCCCAGGGAGAGATGTTGGGTGGATGGATTACATGTGTGGACTTCTGAAATCTATATTTCTTAAATTTACCAGTACAAGTAACTAATTAAAACAATCTAGTTCTGCAGTCTTACATTTTATCAACAATCACTTTCCAGTTCCTTATGATCATTAGGCCCACAGAATTTATGCTTGTCTTAAAAACACTACAGGCTTTATGGAGCAAGGGCTATCTTTTTCTGGGGGACTAGTCCTCATTAGGTCAGTAAGATGCTTTTATTATATGAGAACAAATTGGTTTTTTAATTAGATAGATTGTAATCTCACAGAGATTCAAGCTTTGTCAAAGGTGGGGTACAGGGTGATTAGCTATGTGTGTGTATAAATAATTTGTATAATTTCACCATGTTAAAAGAATGTTTTACAATATTTGTGTGTTCACACATCTAGATTGACTTCTTGTCATTTATCAGGGTCTGTTCTGCACTGGTGATAGGAACTTTTTTGTCAAAACAGAGGGGAAAATAATTTATTTTAATAGCATATAACTGTGCAAAGAGGAATCAAAGAAATACCAGATGAAAATATTTAAGTAGGATAAATTTAGAGGTAATTACAGATTTCTACACCTGCAGGAGGAAGGCTATGGCTAATAAAGGTGTAGTAGATTCCATCACGAGGTTAAAGTATCAGTGCAGGAAACAGCTTCCTCAAGAATGGGCAGAACACTCAAGAACAGATTCCCACAGGAATAAAGAGTTGCCACAGTTCTCAACACTTTTTATTTCCTGAAGTTAGATCACACCTCTTTGGCCGTGTTTTTGTTAATGCAAACACACAGCCCATAGTACCTATATAGACAGTACACATAATTTTATTAAACTAACACAGTAGCATTGTGCCCGAGATTCTCCCATGGGGAGTGGTTAAAAGAAAAAACACCGCAGCCAACAAAGGAAAGCAATCACCTAAGATACACAGGTGTCTAAAATGAAATTAAGATAATACTTGCTCATATAATTCTGTTGGTTTTGACAGAACAGGAATATTAATATGTAAAATTGTGATTTACATATTATGCAATAGTTTAGAAATGTAATTTGATCCAGTCCCATTGAATGAAAGGCTTTGTGAATCTAAGATGGACTGTGATAATTAATAGTCCGTGGTAATCACCAACGTTTGAAAATATGCACGTGTTGCAAAGAAGAGGAAGGTTGTTTAGTATAGCTTGAGAAGATAATGCTGATACTATTTCTTTTAATCTGAGTTGCTAGTACATTCCTCTATTTTAGTTCCTTGCTCTCATGGTGATGAAAAAATATGTAATATGAATTGTTTTTTTCTTAAGCTGTCTTTTCTGTCAAAGGTAGATAAATTAGTAAGGCTTTGGTTAAAAACAAAACACCAGTGTGTACAATCTTCTGCAAGGCCATAGCTTTTTATTGCTTTATAGTTTACATTTTTGGGGTAGTATATGTATCTATCACTTTGTGTTGGCCTGGAGACTCCTCCTTTTTTCCTTTTCATTTTTTGATATGCAAGGGAAACAAAATTACAGCTCAGAGTATGCTTTTAATGTGGTATTAAAGTTAAATGTAAAATATCCTAGGCATTAAAAAAAAGGTATTTTTAGATTGCTAGGTGGGCAACACACTCAATGGAATAAAAATTCCACTGTGTGGAAGATTCTTATATTAACAGAGCAAATGGACATGTGCAGTGCCAGCAAAGGGTTTTTTTCATGATGTGACAGATTGTTTCTAACAGATAGCTTCAATGCATTCTTGCATCAGCTTGTGCCTCTGAAATACTTTCCTAAGAAATATTTAACATTTCCGTAGCAGTTTTAAAAACTGTATTCTAAAATGACACATAGTTCAGATTTGATGCCTCTGTTTGTTACTGTTATCTTTAAAACTTGGTTCCTCAAACTGGTATATGGCACAAGGGGTAAAGTACGTGTCTGCTGAGTTACATATATATATATGCCAACCAGGTGCTCAGAAAGCACGCTGTCCTTAAAACTTACCATCTGTTTTGAGAATTATTGTTGTGTTTTATTTCTGCTTTTTTTTTGTATGGGTATTCTGTATCCAAAGAGGGACTTGTTGAACTGTTCATTTGATGAGAAAGCATAATATGTCTAGGAACTAAGAACAACTTCAAATTTTGTAGTAGCTTTTCTGCTAGTGGAGCAATTATAATTTTCTCCCGTGGAGAAAATGATCAACTGAAAATTGCACTCAGCTTTTAAACTTCTCTACTATAAGCAGTTCTATGGAGAAGTTAGTTAAAGCAAAGAGTTAAGCATGTGCGTAAATGTTTGCAAAAGATGAGCCTGAGATCATTTGTCTCTGAATGTACTTGTTGCTTTCAAACTAATTCGTGTAATGAAGACCTGAACTTTCATTTATACATGTATACTGTTTTCATGTTGTTTTGTTCTGTAAGGTAGTATGGATAATATACATTTTTTAGCATTCTTGTCTGACACTAGTTTTCTTCTCTTATACAACAGGCACCAATTGAACACAAGGAAATAAAAACTGAATCTCAAGTCTTGCCAAGTTTTCACCAAGCAAGCCTGGTAACATTCTGCATTATCTAGGAATGTTAAAATATAATAAGTTAATAGTGCTTCTATTTGCTTGCAGAGTTGTTAAGATAGGTAGTTCATATTTTAAACTGATAAAACTGGGAAGGAAATTAGATAGTCCTTGAAAACATTTTGGTATTTCATAAATCATAAGTATAACTTTACTTTTCTCTCGTTCCCTTTGTGTCTTTCATTCATTCCTTTTCTTACGGGATTTGACTCTCCAACTGCTGGATATAAAGAATTTCACTTTTATTAAGTAGCATACAGATTAGGGCAATGGAATCATAAAACATTAATCTATATTCATATATATTAGTCACCATCATTCCATGCCTCTCATTCAAACTGTTTTTAAAATTTAAATATTTAAATTTAGATGTGTTTGGAGGATTGCTTGATGTTTATAGGCATTAATGATTTATTTGCTTTAAAGGATCATGGTTTTCTTGATACAAATTTCTGATGTATGTTTCTTACATTTTGCAATTTCTTCTTCTAAGTGCAATTTGTAGAAGAAACAGACCAGATCTTTGATAAGAAATCTCTATAAATATTATTACTTAGTGTTAATCATTGTAGCTCCTTTGTCTATTACTATATTTATTTTTGGAAATCTAGTTAGCTGTTGACAAAATATTTGGCTTAAGATAAAATTGATACAATGTTCTAGGTGCTTCATAAAATGCATGGATGATGAAATATTAATTGCATATAGTGGATATTGTACTGAATTACTTGTCAGCACAAAAGTGGTTTTTTAAAAAAATACTGTACATTGATATTTTTTTCCTTCCCTCAGAAGTCACCAGTAGTTCAGAAAGAACTTCAAGCAAGGGAAAATGAATCTCGGCCTAAAGATGAGCTGTTAACGTATAATAAGCAGGTAAGCAGGTTTAGTACTTTTGTGAGGTAGTATTAATTCTCTTATGCTTAAGGTTCTGATACTTTAGAGCATAGAGTGGTCTGCAAGCTGTTTCTTTACCACCTGGCCTTTTAAAGAAGATTTTCTATAAAACAGGTCTTCATACTGGTCTTGCAGCTTAAGGTTAGAGGAAAAAACAAATCAAGGTTCATTCGGTCAGATGTTGGGTTAGGCTTTTCTTTATGAGATTGGAAAGAAGATTACAAATGAAACAACGTATAAATAGAATCCTAATCTACATTTAACAAGGGGATGCCTTCCTGGAAAATGGCATAATGCTCAACATCCTTTTGGTTCTGTAATATTCCACACACGACAAAAACTGTCATTGGGATATCAGCTTTAAAAAGCTTAGATTTTTAGTAGAGAACACGTATCAAGTTTATAGAGACAGTACCACAGAGGACAAATTTGTTGCTAAGACCAAATAATGTCTTTTCCCATGTGTTGTCAGTTTCTAGTGTTCTGGTATTTCAAGGTTATAACCAGATACTAAAATAAAACCTTAACCTGATTACTTCTGCAGTTTTGATGTAAATGATTACTTTGCCTTAAACTTATTATATATGCTTATTGTAAAACAGAGTAACACAATTTATTACGCTTACAATAGTATAATGAGAAGGACAATGAAGAATGGGATATATTTCCACTAGGCAGTGTTATGTGCAGAGATACCAGATAGCCTTGGCCTAAACTTTAATAAGCGAGATGAACACAAGGCTGGATAAGCTACATGGAAGACAAATACAGGTGTTGAAAAGAAGGTGCTAAAGGGACCAAAATGAAAAGCGAATGAGACATACATATGGGATGTTTGTTGATGGCCCAGTATTTGCAAGTATGTTTTTTCAAGGTCTAAGACAGAGGTCTAGTCAAAATGAGACACTTTCTGAATGTCCAAGGGTCTTGTTTCAGCTGCTTCTTCAGCTCCTCCCACTGACTCTAGCTTGGCCCTGATTGTGTCTCTTCAAGCTGCATAGAGAAAGGGATAGAGAGAGGTAGGCACATGCCTAGAATTCCAGAGCATTAGCAACCAACTTTCCTGATCCATTTTAGGATAGCCAAGAACCAAGGATGCACACAGCTTACCCTGAAGAGCTAAGGGACAGGGGAGCTCTGGGAGTGAGTCACAGGGAGACAACAGAAACCCCATCAGTTCTGGCACTGCATTCTGCAATGGGGCTACAGTGAACATGAAGTAGAGCCCTAAGTGATCTGGTGATGCTGGCCTGAACAGTTCCGCTTGGCAGGCATTCTTCTGCAGCTAAGGATTCATATTTTGTAGCTATTTTTGTGGTAGAAAAATTATTTCTGTTGGATGGGTTAGAGTTCTGTTGAAGAAAATGGATGAAAATGAAGTCATATTACTTTTAAAAAATTCTGCTAAATTAGAAAAAAGATTGTTTTGAGATTTTCCTTACAATATTTGTCTGTCTATAGGTCAGGAATGTTTCTAATAATTCAGTAACTGTGCCATCTGTACTTGGCTATAATGTTTTATATAATTAATATTAATAATGATGTTTGCAGGTAGTTTTAAGAGTATACTCTGCAACATCAGTTGATCCGTTGGTTACTAAACTAAATATGCTAAGTGATTTGTAAACAATACACAATACAATGTCACTGATGGTAATTTTTATAATATTCAAGAATATAGTAACATTATTACTTCTAAAGTATATACTATTTGCCAACAGAACAGTTTCCCAGTTATTTAAACAGTACTGGGATACTGTGGTGATGTTTTTTAGACAGTATTATTTTGGGTAACATGCTGTTTCTGTAATGCACTGTGGTGGTATTGTTGCAACGACACCCATCGGTGTGCGTTCAGTGATCTTACAACACAAAGTAGTTTGCAAGATTGGCACCTGAAAATATAACATTCATTTGGCTTTATTTAACACAACTACTACATAATTTATATATTTTACTTAATTTGAAAGTGCATGCTTTCACTTTTACACATAGAAAAAATAATGGAGACAAAACTTTAGAAAAAGTAATGGTTTTAAGAGCCCATATGTTATTAGCTAAATGCGCCATCACATCCTTAGCTTAGCAGAACTATTTCTATACAGAGTAACAGCAATGTGCTGTATGTTAGTAATTCTATGGAACATTATTCATTGACATGTTTTTGTGACATCTTATTTTTGAAATTGTTTTGCCTTGGTTAGTGGGCTGCAGGGCCCATGCAGTTTCAAGATAAATTGATTGATTGGGCAGATGAAATTGCAAATTTGGTTATACACAGAGCAGTCAGATGAAAAAATGCAGGTATTTGCTTTAGTTATTGTAATTTTATGTTCCATCTGTAACTGAATTGCATAAATATTTTGATTAAAAATTTGTGTGTTCACTGGTATTTCTACAAAGAAAATGAAATAAAATATGAGGTTATATACATCTAAAATGTCTGTCTAATAGTTAACTGTGTTGGCTCATATTCTCTGATTTTAGGCTTAAAGGAACTCTCCTCTACTTGGTATAGCCTCCTTAATTCATTAGCAAGAGTGCGTTGAAGTTCCCCTTCATGATCTGTTTCACAAAAAAGATGAGATCACAGAACTTGGCTTATGATTTTAAAATATTAGCTGCTGTAATTTTAGGTTTGGAAGTTTTTGTTAGCTGTATTAGTGTCTAAGATGTCAATGAATGTTGTTGAGTATCTTCTGTTACTTTGGATATCACTTACATGGTATTATTTTTTTAAATTATTTGAGTATCTGGGCGTTCCAAAAGCTGGTAATGGCAATGCATCCACTCAGGTCACTTTTTTTCTTTAAATTGGGCAGGACATCATGACAGAAATATTTACCTGACATTTAAAAGCAAAAATCATAGTCATATGTTTGGCTCATTTTAATGATACATTTTGAGCTAGAGATATTGCTTTCAAACTTTTCTGTATTCCTTATTTATGTTAGCCTGTTTTCTCTATGTAAAATTTTGATTGACTTCCATGTTCTCGGATAAACATCAAATATCTGACTACATACTTTTTCATGTATGTGCTGATATAAACAGTGGTGTTGGTTTCAAAAATAAACTAACAATATATGAAATCATTTTAATTTTGAATAAGCCTTTTCAGAAGGTAGTGACTCATTTAGGTATCTTCTACAGTTCTCAGTATCTTTTATTTGGTGATTAATATACTTGTTTATGAACTATAAACTTCCATAATTTTTTCATTCAGTGATTTTTTTCTAAGAACTTAAATATTGCCAAAGTTATCAGTAGACATAGACATTGTGCTCAGTCCGTATTCTGGGATAAATAAAGCATGTGAGTGGACAAAGAAGAGTAAAATCCTATGCTTTTGTGATTCATTTCACTAGATATGCAATTGAAAATCCTAATTAGAAAGGCATTTGATCACAGCAATTGTATTCTTTGGATTCCTATAAACTAAGCTAGCCAGCCTTACAGAAGTAATTACTGTGGTGTATCAGGAAGAGCTGGGCAAAAAAGTGGACTTACTTTTCATACTGTGAGAAAATTTTTTTAAGACAAAGCACTTTGAAATTAATTTTCCCCAGTGTGTTCTGTTTTGGTCTGTCTTTGTCATGCTATGATTATATTTCTTTATTTTCTTGAACCTGCTTTGCTGTGTTATGTATGCAAGCTTTTAAGTGGCATTCAGAAGAATCCTTTTTGTTGATGGCACTGCTAGTCTGTTTAACAGTTTGCAGGAAACGGAATTGTGGAATGGTTGAGATTGGCAGGGACCTCTGGAGGTCATCACAATATGGAAAAAGCAGCGGAAGGGTATAGATTCTGAAGCCGTTTTATGAAACAGATGTAGACACTTTGGCAGCAATGACTTCAGTAGTTCCTTTTCTTGCTCGCTCTTCCTCCTGGATTACAGTGAGGTGCCCCTGACAAAATTTCTGTGTGGGGCCACTCTACAAAGGGAATCAGAGATGTAAATTAATTCCTGCCTTCCCTCAACACTTCTTTTAAACTATTTTTTTCAACATGGATCAGTTATCTGATCTATTTTGCAGTGTGAAAAAACAAGTTTTGGCACAACTGAGCAGGTGGTGCTCTAATCAATAGGAATGAGTGGCTGTGGGTGGAAACAGTAGGAATTCCTTACATCTGTATTCCAGCCAAAGTTCCTGTATTTAATGAACATAACCTTGAAGAAACTTTCTAAACCAGTCATCCTTTAAACTGTCTGTATCTGTTTGCATTTGCTTAAAAATATAATACAAATTTTAGATGTGTTCATGTTCTTCTAAGTTTAATAGGTCTGAATAGTAGCATTATGATTTTGATGCTCTTTAGATTCTCATTGTAATATTTTGAAGTAAATTCATCATATATGCTATTCAGAAATGCAATTTAGGTAGGCCACATTGGGAATTTTGTTTTATCACACTTTTCTGCTTATTCTATATCCTGAATAGCTGTGGGTGCTGCTGTGATCTGTGTAGTGACAGCAGTTCTAAACTACTCTAGTTTAATTTAATTGTGTTTTCTGATGGTCAGAGTTGCTTGTGTGCCATTGCTCCTTGTTCTACTCCAGAGTGGGTTTGAAAATATCCATATAACTTATCAGTTTGTAACACTGTGTTTATCTTCTGTTCATGAACATTTTAGGCTCCATCCTCAAATGTGCTACAGGTACAAGGAAAAGCAATATCAAAAATTAAACTAGATGAAGTTCAGAAAGAGCTACAAGAGGATTGCGACTTGCAACAATCTTTGCCTCCTCAGGCTTCAAATGTCAAGTAATTTTTTAAACTTATTTAATTGTTCTAAGAAAAAAAAGACAATAGATTGTTATTAGTGCATAGTATGATAGATGAGTTTGGAGAAGAAATAATGACTTCTCCCTAGATTTGGATCTGAACACTTGTAATTCCTGAGCTAAATTATCAAGTTTAGTTTCATGTCTCTAGTTTTAATTTGCTATTTATCTCATTGAAATAGTTCTGATTTACAGTTTTTAAAATCCAGAGGGCCTATTCAGTCCTGCTGTATGCAGATGAAACTTCTCTTGACTGCAGCAGAAACTGAAGTTGCTTATGTGGGGGCTGAATTTGTCCATACAATTCCAAGCATAATCTAATCAAAATAATTAAAAACAAACAATGGAAAATACCACAAATTTAATATAAGCAATGCCAGCTGTAAGTCATCATCTTTAAATAGAGAAGATGTATTAAAAATTCATTAACTTGAATTTGTATTACAGTCAGTGCTTGTCTGAAATTCAGGAGGTTTTACATTGAGAGCTGTAATTTAAGGACAACTGCTTATTACCTTGCTCTTGTCATAGGTTGTATCTGTCATTATGTAGTAGGAGTGCAGATTACAAAAGTAGTACAGACAGTGTCCTAATTTAACTGATCCTGTCCATCCCATGTCAAGTGAGACAGTTCACTTTTACGGTCTTCGCTGCTAATAAGATCTTTATAGATAGCTTTGTTTAGATGTACCATAGGTTGCTTCTTCACTTCTCTATTGAGAAAACGAGGGAAAAAAAGAAGCAGCTTTAATTATTAGCTTTTGTTGTTCTTAGGGTCCTGAAAGGTCTATTGGATACAGGAGAGAGCCTTTTTATGGCAGGCCTAAAGTTTGTAAATGGATAATACTTTCAATTAAGTAGCTGAGAATAGTCATGGGAAAAGAATGCTTAAGTTTATGAAACAGTCAAATTGGCATTTAAGTGACCCTTTGCATGCCATTGCTTATCTGCATTGCTTAAAGATCATTTGGTTAGCAAGATTATATATTAAAACAAATAGTGTCAACAGACAATGAGTGTTTTACCTTCAATAAATACTTACTGTCAGATTATCAATGGTGCAGAAACTGCACGATTTTCTAAAAACCCCGTATTTAGTGCATTAAGTGAAGGTAATGTAGGCCACACACATAGTATTGTTTTTTCATGTCCCCCTTTTTCAAAGAATGATAAATAGTCTGTTTTAGGAGAGTGTGTGCTGTAAAAACATTCACCTTTACCTGCAGCATGCCCCAAATATTTCAGTTTACATTGATAAAGCATTCTGTTAGTTCGTTCAATGAAATGATAAACTTCTATACAAGAGCAGTAATGATAAGGAGATTAAAAGAACATTCAAATTGTTTTTATTTTTTTAAATTAAAGGAAAAAAACTTGGGGAAAAAAGTTCCTAGAGAATTTTTAAATTATTTTGCCTGCTGTCATTTACAGAAATCACTCCAAATGATTTAAGTTCAAAGTTAAACTGTTTGCCATCTATTTTTATTTTTTGAAATTGTGTGGTAATTCCATTGCAGAGAAAGTTAACTGTGTTAGAACATCCTGAGATAAACTGCTATAAACATTCATGAAGATTATATACTCTATTGAGTTGAAAAAGCACTGCGAAATATTTCTAATTTTAAATTAGTGATCTACTTATTAAAGCACTGATCTCTGATTTCACACTCAAAAACTGTTACTTATTTCCATTTATGCTGTAAATGTATTCAATTAAACAAAATATTATTCTTTGTGTTAAATGGGGTTGCTGTAAGCATGCCTTAAATCCTAATCAGTTACATGTATTGTGTGATTGAGTTGCTTTTCAAACTGGATATTTCATTTTTATGTTTATCTTTCACATTTTATTTCATAACCTTGACCCTGTTCTCATTCAGGCAAAAGTGCAACTGATTTCAGTAGAGACTTTAGATTGTAAGATCTGGTGAAATTGTCTTGTTGAAGCATAAAGGAACGAGGTTCTTTCATATATATGAAAGTTGTATGGCTTGAAAAAAATATTTTGAGCAGTTTTAATTAAAATAAAAACTTATTGACATTCTTTCCTTTTGGGATGTCATGTGTCTGTAAACTTAGGGACTCAAACTATATACCAGATGTATCTCCGTTACATTAATATACTTGATGTGATCATTTCTTGATTGTGAGTCAAATTTCTGTTACATTACACTGATTTTCATGTTTCTTTACATGTTTTTTTATATTTTACTTTTTTGCTGTCATTTTTCAAAAGCCATAAGCAAATATAAAATATTATTTTTGTAACTTGAATATGTATTACATGATAAATCAATCTTGTGTTTTTCCTTGCTTCATTTTGTAGTTTCCCTGATTTCTTCTTTATAATATCTGTTTATAGCATAAGGTGTGGTTCTCAGTAAAACAAAAAACCAAGTTGTTTGAAAGTGTCATTGTCTCATGAGAACCTCAGGAAAATAGTTAAACCTGAAAACTATTATGTGTAATTTCAAAGTGGAATTTTAACCATATTTATTTGGGATTTTCAGAACGTATGAAGGCACTTATGAAACTTAATTGAAACTAGCATATATTTGGGCAGCCATTTCTGAGTATTTTAGATCTCTAATATTTTTCATATACTGCTTTTTACATTGTAACTGTCTGCACATTAGACATTTATTAACTTTGTAGAGTTCATACAGTAGTCAGAGACTGTTTTTAGAATTTGATCCATGGCCTGTGGAAGTCAATAGACTTTCATCACCTCCAGTACAACTTAGATTGGAGGGGTAAATGGTATTTTTTTTTAGTTATTAACTTTTCAAAGATAGTCAAAGACCTGGTGTTTCCTCTAATATCAACAGCTGAATTGAAAGGCTAGGAAGAATTTGAAGTGATAGTGTATCATAAAACTAATTCGAAGTTTTAAGGGCATCTACAAGGTACTCTGTCATGGGAGAGTATTTGCAGATGAATGTATATGTAACATTTTATCATAAAATTTATTCACATACCCAATTTAAGCTGTATGTCTGCATTACTTGGTTTAAGTTTTCGGTGCAGCAAGTGAAAGCTCTACTTAAGTTGGGAAAGTAAAATTGTGACTACTGCACTTATTTTACACTTTAAAATTATTACCAACATTTTAGCTTTTACCTATTTTTCTTTTATAAATAATATGATCTCTACTTTCAGTAGAAATTACCAGGCACTTTATGCCAAGTATTTGTTAGCAATTTATATCCTATGGTCTGATGTATGCCACAATGTAGTACTTGATAAACTATGTACTTTAGAATATAGAGACTGGATATTAAGATTCTTGATTTCTTTGTTTTCCTTTCTAGAAGTCAACATTATCCAGGCATTCATCATCTATGTACTGCTTTTCCTAGTTTTATATTGCCTCCTTATTTACAACTGGTTTCTAGAGTTTATCATACGTCAGACAGAAGAGGTCACAATATCTTATTTGCAGCAGAGGACGCAGACAATAAGGAAGAAGAACCAATGTGTTCCAAATACATTTGTTTGAAAGAGCAAGCTGAAAGGAAAAGGTATGAACTTACTTATTTTCAGAGTTACTATGATTCACTTAATTTTGTAAGTTAAAAGATTATACGTTGAGAAATAACTTTCATGGGTTTTCAATATTCAGTAGTTTCAAAGAAGAAAAAATCGCCTTATTTGGTAGATATGCTTTAAAATAATTAGAACAAGGGTACTAAAAGGCTTGTATCTTGCTTAGAATGTAAAATGTATTGTTTGTTTTTAAAGATAAACTGCATTTTGTAGACATTTTAAGTTATATGTCTCAATTTAGGTTATAGATACATGAATTTTTAACTTCATTATACTCAATGTGAGAGGTCCCATTGAAATAACAAGAAATACTGAGCAAATAGAGTAGGCTTTCTGCGAATGTAAAATTCTGCAATAGTAAAAGGTTTAAAGTGCACACTCACTAGCCCTTTATCACAGAGACAATCTTACCTCAATCCTGATTCTACAAGCCCTCAGGAACAAGCATAACTTTAATTGAGTGTAGTTCTGTTGAGTTCAGCACATGCACAAAGTTAAGCACATACAGAACTGGGACCTAGATAAACTTGTAGTCAAAAGTATTCATTGCATATGTAAAAGGTAGTCATGTGATAACTGCAGGATCCTGCATCTTTAATGAATGAGCATCTGAAGTAGAACAAAATGCATAATAGTTAATTTTTGAGGTTGATGCAGCATGTAGAAAGATCTGTCAAGAAATTTGTTCTATAAGCAGTAGTGAGGGAATGTAAATGGGTTTTGCAATAAACATACTCAGTTTTGTCATGTTATTATATGACCAATTTTTATATTTGATGGTAGTGAATTCCTAAATCTCCGGGTTCTTTCATTTGGTTTTTTTGTGTGTGTTTTGCACTAAGGTAATGTGCATATGAATGAATACGAAGCATATTCTTTTTTCATTGCTTATTACTTTGGTTACGTTTTTGCTTTTTTATGCCTCTCTAGTTTATATAGTAACATCAAAAAATTCAGAATTGGAGCCTTAATACTCTCAAGTTTTTCCTGATGTTTGTTCAGGCTGGCAGTTTGCTACTTGTAGTTTCTGTGTATCAGCAGCTCCAGAAATATAAAATTATTGCTCTTAAAGTCTGTAGTGATCTAAAGAATGGTAGAGTGGTAAATAAGGATAAGGCTAGGTCAGTTTTACAGGGCAATTTGTGTAGCTTGTTAACTTGGGCTCTCTTGAAAAACATGCATTTTAGTGCAGCCAAATGCAAGGTCATAAGGATAAGAATAGGGAATTAGGGTCATCCTTTGTAGCAGGGGAGATTGTATCCTGAAAAGCAGTAACTCTGAAAGGAGCTTTACGGTCTTGAAAGATAAGCAACAGAAGATGGCTGTGTAATACTCTCTGAACTTTAAATTAAACAAGTTTGCCTTAAAATAAAGGAGGTGAGACATTAGCAATAATATCAAAAAAAATTTTTGGGATTAGAAATATTATACAGAGCTTTTCTATTCCAGGTAAGTGCTCTAACAACTGAGATAGTCATGTTACCACTTGTTCTCTCTCTTGGCTGCATGACTTTTGCATTCTTTTCTGCTCAACAGCACAACTTCCTGTACGCAGAATGGTCAAATAATCTTATGGTGAGTGAGGTTTGAATCCTCAGATAAGCAACGAATTCTCATTTCCTGGCTCTGTGCTTCAATAATGAATTATCATAAACAGGTGGAAATCACCACTCTGCTTTTTTCCCCCTATTTTATAAAAGAAAAAAAAAAATCACCTTGCCCTTCCTTGAAAGAACAGAAGCATCTGCTCTTAGAAGAGGGTTCCATGTTCTGGATTTGAAATGGAGGGAAACTTCTGCCATCAGCCCCTGAAAAATCTAAGTTCCAGAGAGGGGCAGCAGATTTCCTGTTGGCTAAATCTGTGATTCTTCTTCCATGTGGTTTGTAGGAATGTTGTGCACTTAAGGCACTTAACAGTGTGTTCCAAATACCATTCTAGGGGAGCAAGCAGAAGTGTCAATTTCTGTAGGAGATCTTTTTCTTGAATACCAGTTCTGTATTAAGACATTTTAAAAGATCATTATGTTGGTTTTACATGAAAGACATAGAGTTGGTTTGAATACGTTACCTGCATGGTATAGTTTGTGATGCAAGAGGATTTGCTAAACAGAAACATAACAGACCCAGTAGTTGAGGCTTCAGTCTAGACAAATTGAAAGTCACTATAAGATTTCAATGTATAGCAATGAAAGTAGCAGCTTCTGAAGGTATCCATTACTTACAGCCTTTAAATGAAAGCTGGATTTCTTTCTGAGGTATATCCTGAGTTTTACCCAGCTAATTGTGAGCTTGATGCAGGAGTGCTGGTGAAATTTTATTATCTATATTATCTAGAAGGTCAGGTTGGGTAATCATGATGCTTCTCTCTGACCTTAGAATATGAATCCATAAATTGCATTATGAAATTTTTTAATCATTGAATTCTTCTGAGGTAGTCAAGATTACCCTGACCATCAAGGTTGGCATTATTTCAGGGTACGGGATTAGGCCCTGATGTTTTCCCTTGTTTTTTTGAGCTTCTGCTTCTGTCAGGAATTTTGGTAGCATATGAATATCATTCATGGCCATAATTGGAGCATTTGCTTTTGATTCAGCAGAATTGTCTGTCTGTTGGACAGATACAGACAGAGTATAAGGACTCTGTGAGGATAAGGACACTGATCAGCATTGTAAGCAAAGGTTTCAGTGTACCAGTAGCCCAGCCATTAACTGTTTTGTAGGTCATGGTGGAAGAGGATTTAAGGAAATTCTGAAAGAATAAATTGATGGCTGTAGTGAGCTTTTCTCAGATGTGAGAAGCAGCATGAGGGTGGGCAAAAAGATGTTCAAAAAAGAAAAAAAAAAACCCCAACCAAACCCTACTTTAGGAAGTCAGTGATGGAGTCAGTAGTCACAAAAATAGAAATTGTTACTGCTTTACTGATCTAGAGATGACAAAAAAAAGAAAAGCTGCAAAGGCTTTGAAAGCAGAGGAGCATCTTATATTGGAGTGAGCTTCTCTTTTTCTATTACTTCAAAGAATGGGATAACTTTCAAAGCAAGCAACTATGATCTTTGCAGTAGTGCTTTGAATGAATGTGAACAGAACAAGGTGATCGTTGTCTAGGCTAAAGAAATGGATGCTGCAGTGAGATATGAAATTAGATACCAGACTTTAGCTTTGTAGAGAGATTAGAAAAATACTTTTATTTTAGAATGTTGTGAATGATACCTGTGTTCTGAGTCTGTGTAAATGGTGGGATGCTAGCCATAGTTTTGAAGAAAGAAAATAGTGGGGAGGCCATAAAGGTTGAAAAGGGAAAGGTTCATAAGATAATTTTCTTTCAGCCTTGCTGAGCTAGCACTGGCAGCTTGACATTTCTAAGAGGAAGATCATCTGATATTTTTGTTGGTGCAGAACAGAGTGATGAATCACACTCTGATTAATATGGAGATGGAACCTGTACATGTTCTTTGACTAAAGCATTACTAGAAATAGAGTAGAGGGAGAATAGAAGAGAGGACAGAACCCCTGGAAATACCCAGGAAGTTGAAGGAGTTAGGTGGGAGTGGAACTAGGAGAGATGAACTGTAGAAGCTATGGGAGGATGGGATTTGAAGAAGAGAATGGTTTGGTTTTCAAGAAGTAGCCAACATGTTGAAGAAATTGAGGGTGAGTCTGGGCTTTATAAATCAGTGGAAATTTTTGGGAAGAAATTTTTACATTGAGAGCTACATTCCCCTGAGATGAAAGGAATGAAAATTTAAAAAGAAGCCCGTACTAAAATTCCTTGCTGAATTAGCTTAATCCTTGAAATCTAGCAAACTAAATTCTTTGGAGCACTGCCATCTAGTGGCACCATCTACCATCATATTCTGTTTTTAATTTTTAAAACTGGTTGCCTTATGTGAACCTTGAAGGTCAAAGGTATCATTTACCTGACACTAATTTAGGTCCATCTAAGCTGTTCACATTTCATTACTGACCAATTCCCCACAGTTAGCTAATACCACAAATGCAAATATCTATATGGGAGTAAGGATGATTTCTGTGTAGTGTATAGAAAAAAATCAAAAGACTTTGTCAACTGTTTAAATATCTTTATTTTTTTTTGTAATAGTTCTGAGTTCTTCTCTGAAAGAATCTTGTTTGATGGTAACAACAAAGAAGCCTACAGTGGTAGGATTTTATGGTAGATCAGATCAAGAAAGTAATGATTTCCTTGCTTTAAACTCTTGTCTTTATTATGAAAAATATCAACAGGCTTAAATATATATAACTTTCCATCCATATCTGTGAAAAACGTCTTGTGGAGCAGGGTGTATCAATTTATCGAGATGTAAACTTCCCAAGGTCAGGTACAACCCTCTCCTAGGGTATTAAGTTCATTTCGTCAGATAGCAAAGGTGCCTTGCTTTTGCTCTCATGTTTAAACTTTTCATACTCTGCAGGCATCAGTTATCTGAGAGTTAAAAAAGCTCCTTTTTTAGCCATGAAGACAAGTAGTAAGCTAAATATGTTTTCTAAGGTTATATATTGATAGTCAAACATGTCCCTGGCAGATATCCTACAAAAATTTG